TTCCTGGCTGTGTAGACGGCGACGCTACTTGGCGTAGATATTCTTCTCCGTCCTGTATGTGTTGTGTGCTCGGCAAGACCGCTTTGTGTTTTGAGTGCCCCCAAGTTGTGTTTTACTAACTTCAGAAGCTCCAAACACGTGAGCAAAAGCGCCAATCTCATTGGTCGGATAGTTTTTGATGCGACGTGTCAAAATAAAAAAAACGAAGCTTTTACGCGTGAGTGTGCACACTCACATTGGCGCCCTTTGTTTAGTCTAAAGGCGTTAAACGTCGGCGAACATTGCGCGTGAAATTCGTCCCGATGTGAACAGGCCTTTAGGCTGTAGCCTTGAGGATTCATTGAGATCATAGTCCTCCAGGAACGAACGTCACAATAGTCCTCATTTAAATTGCCCAAGGCATGCACAAAATAAAGGGGTGAGGACTGGTTGAGTTGCATTAGTAGTGTGTTGAAACTTGGGTGCAACTTTTTCAAAACGACATGTTTGTAGCGGATGAGCCATCACAACACACTGTTCCAGCTGACCAATCAGGGCACATTGTGCTTTTCAGAAGGAGGGGCTTCATAAAGACTGGAACTAAACGGACAAAAATCAACCAAAATCAAGACTTTGTAAATGGGCATTGCCACTTTTTTAGTATTGTAATTTAAATAAAAGATGATGCATACTTTTAATATAAAGGTTAGAATAATCTGCACTCATTAGGGGTGTAACGGTACACAAAAATCACGGTTCGGTACGTACCTCGGTTTTAAAGTCACGGTTCGGTTATTTTTCGGTACAGTAAGGGAAAGAAATGCAAACATTAAACTGCTGGTTGTTTAGTTTAATATAAACTTTATTTTAACATTTTTTTTTCAAACTTTTCGAACAATTTGTTTAAACCTTTTTAAACACACTTTTTATTAAATATAATAAATAAAATATATATAAAACAAAACAAAAAAGAATAAGAAATAAAATATTGCTGCAAAATTCTCCACTAAATAAAATCCTCTGAAACGAATATCACAAAATAAAATATAATGAAAAATATAAATAACTACGGATAACAGTGGAGCATTACCAATCCCAGCTTTAAGGCCTGCTCATATGAAAAAAAAAAATATATATATAAATATAGAACTTTTACAAAGTGTAAAGTGCAGCATCAACAGTTTTAGTTTTTAGACTTGCTCAGATTCATTCAACTTTCATGTTTTTTGTCAAAAAAATTAACTTGTCCACATTGTCTGCAGAAAGGGAAGATCTGCTGGCAGTTACAATGTCTCCAGCTGTAGAAAATACCCTCTCGCTAGGGACTGAGGTAGCAGGTACAGCAAGGTAGTGCTTTGCTAACTTGGCAATATGAGGATATGTGGGTTCATTGGTCCTCCACCATTCAAGTGGGTTGGAATCCAGTGAGATGCAGTCCACAGACTTGTATAAGGTAACCTCTTCCTTCACTAGCTGCAAAGTAGGCTTGTTTCCCACCTGAGTCTTGAAGAGTTCACCGAACAGTTCAGCCATGGCAGACTTCTTGACAGGAGGAGATGATGCCTCTGAGTGTCCTGTCACTGGAGATGAACTAACTGCTGTGGCCTCCGCACTCTGCAAAATAAAATGACAAAACTAATTTTAATAAATTACTACTACTGGCACTGTAGCAGCAAAGTATTTTGGATTATACAATGTCAATGAAGATATTTTACACACTAGCAAATTAACACAATACCTGTTCTTCCATGGTTACAATTTCTGTGATGAGGTCGTTGTAGATTCTGTCACGACAGGCATCATCCACATGAGGAAGGGCCTTGAACCTCGGATCAAGAGCTGTGCATTTGTGGAGGAAGTCATGACAAGCAGAGTATCTGTTCTTCAGGTTTTCTGTGATGACAGCCTTGATTTCTCTTACAGTTGGACTGTCTTCCTCATTGGGTGTCATAGAGTTGAGTACTGTGGTTTTTAGGGGGAGGATCATTGATACTGAAGGTGTGGATTCAGTGCTCATCAGTGTTGTGATGGTTTTTAGTGGTTTAAGAACCTCAAGTACCTCCTCTGCCATTTTCACATCCTGGTCAGACAACGTGCTTATTTCTTTGTTCTTCTTGAGGGGCTTTTCTGTTAGGGCAGAATACACCGCTGCTTGCTGTTCAAGGTACCTCTCTAGCATATCATAACTGGAGTTCCAGCGGGTGGTGACATCATGAATAAGGCTGTGTTTTGGAATATTAAGCATTTCCTGTTTGCTCTCCAATATATGTGCTGCTGTTGGGCTACGGTGAAAAAAAGACACAACCCTTCTGACTCTACCTAGCACTCTGGACACCTGGTTGAGACCTGTTGCTTTCTGTGAAGCTAAATTAATTGTGTGTGCAAAACATCCAATTTGAGGGCCCAGTCCAGCTTCACTGACTGCATTGACAATATTCCTGGCATTGTCAGTTGTGACAGGAATTGTAGTCCCTGGCCTCTCCAACTTCCACTCAAACACTGTCTCCTTAAGTCCCTCTGCCAGATTTGTGCTTGTGTGTTGTTCATAAATGGGGCGGGTTTGAAGAACATGGCTTACCATGTTCCACTCTGGAGTAATGTGATGGGCAGTCACTGTTAAGTAGCTCTCAGTAGCTCTAGATGTCCATCCATCAGTAGTGAGTGCAACAGCAGATGCTTTTGACAGCTCGTGGACTACAGCAGTTTTAACCTGTTCATAAAGACCGGGTACAACTTTTTGGCTGAAATGTGGACGAGATGGAATTTCATACCTGGGCTCAGTCACCTTCATCATGTGCTTAAAACCAATGTTCTCCACAACCGAGTATGGTCGTAGATCAGCTGCTATGAAAACACCAATTGCATTTGTTATTGCTTTGGCCCGATCGGAATTACCAGCAAAGGTCTGTTTAAATGCCAACGGGAGCTGCGTTTGAACTATGCTCGTTTTTTTCCTCGTAGAAGTGATGTTCACATTCGGGTGATGCCTTTTCAAGTGCGTTAACAAGTTTGATGTGTTTCCAGCTACATACCCGATCGTTACTGAGCAATGTCGGCACACTGCTTTCGTTTTATCGACTAGCCTTTGTCCGTCGACGTATTTCACTGGGAAACCGAAGTGTTCCCAAACAGGAGACCTTAATGATATGGGTGGTTCTTCAAGCTCTGGCTTGTCTGCGTTGGCCATGACGCTAGCTAGCGAGAGGCTGGGCTAAAGCCCGCTGTGTTTGTACCGCAAGTGCAGAGCGGAGACATCCGACACTTAATATGTTCGTGTGGAAACTCAGATTTGACGCAAGTTCCGCATTTGCATTCGGTACGCATGTGCACCGAACCGAAAGTGCTGAACCGAAACGGTTCGGTACGAATACACGTACCGTTACACCCCTAGCACTCATGTATGTATAATTCACAATGGAAATTATATATTCCTACTTAATGTAAGTTCGTTTCTGTCCGTGATGTAAAGATATTTCATATCAGTGAAAGTATATGCCGATTTCTACCGGTCAACAATTAAAGGGGACATATCATGCTAAATCCACTTTTTTTTAGGCCTTAAATGCATTTTGTTGTATATTTGGAGTGTTTATAAGTACAGAAAAGATTAAATTATTCTCTTCAGGTGCTTCGTTTATATCTTTATATTCTGTTTTGGTCATATTTTTCAACCTGTTCAGATTTTCCTGTTCTCTATGACATATTTTGAACAATTACGTCACAGTATTTGCAGCGGAACTGCCAAATAAGGACATTGACTACCGGTCCAAAACTTCGAGCAATCCGCCATTATTATTTCTCGCTCCGATTTTGTAGTCCGAGCTCAATGATGCAGAAGTTACGAGAGGGCAAGTCAAAATGTTCGGTTGTTGGATGTAGTGACCAGAAGCACTTCAAGGATTCCCACTTCAGCAACCTCAGCCAGTATAAAGAAGGGTTTGCCGATCGACTTCGTCTGAATGAGGGGTCAATTCCTTCTATCTTTGGAGACGACGAACAGAGCATTTCGATAAGCTGTAAATATCGTTAATAAAAATAAAGTACTTTACTTTCTTAAAACACGTGGTGGTCATGGTTTAGCAGTACCTTTGTCTTTCTTTGTTTTTGTTTTGAAGTAACGTTACACGTCTGCAGTATTATTGTTCTTGAGTTTCATCAATGGTCAAGCTGCTGTGTTTTCTGATGCTTTTCTAAACGTATCATATTATCAATACAGATTTTTAGTGGTAAGATTAGACCGTAGTCATTTATCTTGTCAGTGTGCTTGTTTTAACAAGAGAAATAACCAACTTTCACTAATAACACAATACAGTTATTGCCATTGCAATATATCCATACGAATGTATTGTTGTTCTGCAGGTTCGTCGTCGTCTTTTTCAACTCGCTCGAACATGTAAGGCTTGAAGGACAAGTCTTCCGTTGTTGACATTTTGTTAACGTGTGAATAAAAATGTTCTTTGGCTCTTTATAATCGTGTATCTCTAATCAAACTACAAAAATGGCTGAACGGGGTGGAGTTGGACCTGGAGAGTGGGCGGGGTATGACACATCTCCTTTTTATTTAAAGGGGCCGCTTCAAAACGGGTTGCCCACAGACGCACATCAGAAAAGGGGCCTGTGGAGCTATAATAATGAGGAATTCAGACCCAAGCATTGCAGTTTCGCTTTATATATAGACCACAAATGTATGACTTATATGTAAATATGAATGATTTAAAAGCATGATATGTACCCTTAAGAAATGTGTATCAGAAGCAAGATTTTTCACAGATTAAAGAGCTCACTTAATATAGCACCCATGTGTGATTCAGATACTTCAGGGAAAACACCCATCCACCACTGCAGTTCAGCTTGACTCACTCCTGTGCATGTGTGTGTGAGGTTCTTTCGTCATGTATTATGCAAAATCATCGGATGAAGGATCAACCGATGATTCACATTTATAGACCAATAATTTAGCCATATTCCTGTTATTTCTTGAAGATACAGTGTTGACCAGGTTGTTTGTTTCTGGGCCGCAGACCCCGAGGTGGCGGCGGTGGCCAAGGCGGACCCCGAAAGCAGAAGGAACTTCCCTCAGAGCCTCCCTACACAGCGTACGTCGGCAACCTGCCCTTCAACACAGTGCAAGGAGACATAGATGCCATTTTCAAAGACCTCTGCGTCAGGAGCGTCCGACTAGTCCGAGACAAAGAGACAGACAAGTTCAAAGGTGGGCCGGTCTGTGCATGTTTAATGTGGGATGCTGTGTTTGCTTACTACTCATGCTTGGTTTTAGGAAAGCATTCAACTTTGTGCTTCATACATGAATTATTCCTCAAAATGTGTGGCTAGTTTACATTCCTGTTGCACAATGGGAAGGATGTGGCTCAAGCTATGGCCAGGTCAAGGGCCTGACCCTAAGGGAAACGCATTTGCTAAAATGGTCAATTGTTTTCTTGCTCCAGGTTTCTGTTATGTAGAGTTTGATGACTTGGAATCTCTAAAAGAGGCTTTGACGTATGATGGCGCTGTAAGTCACTTATTACACTTTATTCAGTTGTTTATCATCTAATGCAGAAGTGATGAATGCACCGTTCACTAGTTTGAGGTCCGTGAACATTGACGCACCGCTGTTGTAGAAACATTGTAGAAATGTGAATACAGCTTTGGTGAGCATAATAAACGTTCCCCCCGAAAAACTTCAAACCGACCCCAAGCTTTTGAACGGGACTGTGCTGTGTGTGTGATTTGTTGTGTTCCTGACTGTTCTTTTACAGCTACTAGGCGACCGATCTTTGAGGGTGGACATCGCTGAGGGGCGAAAGCAAGAACGCGGCGCTGGAGGCTTCGGCTTCCGGAAAGACGACAGAGGAGGAGGTAGTGTGTGTGTGTGTGTGATACTGCTGTCATTCATTAGCACAGTCTTCTGTGCTTATTCTTATCTTATTCTCTCTTCTTCTATCTTATCTTAGGAGGTTGTGTGTGTCTAATTCTTCTGTTAGTGCTGTTTACTAGGGCTGGGTAATAAATATCGATTTCTCGATATTAATCGATTCTCATTTTTACAAACCGATATCGATTCTTAAATCTCAAGAATCGATTAGTCATCCTGTTTCATTTGAATGTATGGAACATTGTATCGCGGCTGCGTGCATCCAAAAACTCGCAATAATCTTTGTCCTTTGTTACTATTGAAATGAAACAAAGTCTCAATTTTCAAATTACGTCTATTTTCTTTAGAAATTCAAAAACAGAGTTTTGGCGCTGTGGCGTGAGATCGCTCTGGAGAAGCAGCAGCGCTGATCTCTCTTCCAGTCACAGCGCGAAATAAACATGAATGAGCATCTGAAAGTGTGTTAAAAGATAGAGTACAACTTATCGAAATCCGTATCATGTCACATTGATTCGCTCAGCGTTTCAACCGTGGAAAGACGTCAGTAAAACAGCTTGTAATCAATGTCGTGTATCGTCATATTTACCTCAGAAAACCCACATAAACTCGTTAGTCAGCTAGAAAAAATAACTCTAGAGAGGAGCATTTTGCTAAATATATACACCATATTACATATGCATTATAATCTTAATGTTCTTCAATATTTAATGCATATTTGAATAAATCTGACAAGTTTTTATGACGGCCACCATTTAAATGTTTATATTTCATATAATCTTCTTATTATAAAAATAAATAAAAGGTGTAATTTAAGTGATTCATTCATTATTACCTTCATATTAAGCTAATGAAGCCTAGTAGGCTACAACTAGACTCCCATAGTTTACAGCATTAGTTAGGAGATTTGAGAAAAATTGCCATTTATTGTAACTGATATCCAAAACAATCGATATTGAATCGAATCGTAATCGAATTGAATTGAATTGCAAGCTTGTGAATCGAAATCGAATCGAATCGTGAAATTTGTCTCAATACCCAGCCCTACTGTTTACTCGCATTGTAGCATGCTTTTCTGTGGATATTTTTTTGCAAGTTCTTGCCGTTTTAAATAGTGAAGTGTTTTAAATAAAATGAGCGATGTTAGGGCTGGGTGGTCTGGTTTTATTTACAGTGGGATTGTCAATCGGAAGTGTTCCCGTCACAGATAATATAAATAGTGTTTTTCATTCAAATGTAATGATATATTAGCCTGGGTTTCCCCATACTGCCTTTGCGCAGCGTGATTTTTATTCACGCTGTAAGGCAGTCTAGATACCATGGACCAGATTTTCGCAACAGCGAGGGGACCAATCGCAGAACGGGGAGGGATAGCAAGACGGTGACGATGTCTGTGCAACAACTCACGGAAGCATTTTGTTTATATCTATGGATCCAACATGGCAGCAGACGTGAAGTTACCCTTCGATGCAACCTTATGGCACTTTTCACCTACACAGTACTAACTCGACTCGGCTTGCCTTTGTTTGGTTTTCAACGTCTCAACGGAAAAAACTGTGCGCTGCCCAAACGCTCTCAAGCGCCCAAACCACGACGTCTTCAGCTGGCTAAAAACGCTTTGGTGGACACACGGCCTAAAGGCCAATTTATACTTCTGCGTCGAGGGTACGCCGTAGTGTACGGCGTTGGCTACGCACGTAGGCGACGCCGTTGTGAGCATTTATACTTCTGCGTTCAGGTCTTGGTTGCTCTGCAGTACTGCTCCGAAACGCTAGTTGGCGGCGGAGAGTTTTAATGTTCCACTGTGTTTAGATTCCTCGCGGCTAGGTTACTACGAGTGAACGAGAGCTGATCATGTTGGAATTGGAGCTTATTAGGTGGAAAAACAGTTCACTTTAGTGAAATTACTAAAACTGAAAGGCAGAAATGAGAGAAGACGTCGGAGTAGATGGTACGTGTGGAAATGCGTGAGAAGGTACGTGCGGAAATGCGTAGGAGGAAATGCGATGCTACCAAGCCGACCAATCACCGATCTTGCGGTCCGCGTCGTCGCGACGTGTAGTTACATTTTTGAGGAGGTGCGCGTCAGGCGACGGCGAAGGGTACGCGGTATGGGACGCGTCTGTGCGTATGCTACGCCGTACCTACTGCGCGCACCCTACGCAGAAGTATAAATTGGCCTTAAAGGTCTGATCAAGCGAAATGATCGCTCATTTAAAAAAACAAAAACAAAGTTTAAGTTTTATAAGCTGAAATGGTCGCCTTGCTCTGTTCTGTGAACTCTCCTGTTCGAACTCGTTTATCAAAATGAACAAATTAGTTTTTCGTGTCATTTGGTTCATTCAACGAACGAACGAACGAAATGAATGAATTGACTAGGAAAAAGATTTGTTCGGCACATTTTATGTTTTCGAGTTTGTTTGTTTTTTACCAGTTTTTACGCATTTGAGCAGTTTTATCTTTTACTTGCTAAATTAGTAGTAAGTAGGAACTAAGTTGAAATTCCTAAAGTAATGCGATATTGTGATGTTTTGGCCCGACCCCCGGTTCCTAAGCAATGCTCAATAATACCTTGTGTCTCTTTTGTCTCTTATTCTGAACTCTTCTGCTTTGTTTTATAGTATATTGCTGCCGAACCTCTCACTGCTCTACACACACACAGAGCTTTTCTTTAGCTGGGCTTCTCACACTCATTGTTCATTTCATCTTTAGATCTTTTTGTTCTGCTCTGTTTTTCACCCCTCAGTAGAAAAACTCTTCCTAGATCCTTTTCCTTCCCCTCTAACAAGCGGAGGGCTTTCTGATAGGCCAGCTGGCGTCTTCCTGTGCGCAGTTTCGGCTGACGATCTGATTGGTTCAGTAGACGCGTTATCTGGGTGGGCCTCTCTTTCACCCTGATCTCGCCTTTGAGTTGTTGCCCCTATTAAACAGCCCCCCCTGTCCCTTTCAGGCCGTGGTGGCTCACGTGGGGGCCGAGGAGGGGGACGTGACCCCAGGGACGACTACGACCAGTCTGGAGGAGGTGCGGAGAGTGAAATGGGCAAGAATTCGATCATTTTGGGCTTTGGCTCTATATACAATTATTATTATTTTTAGCAGGAATCTGAGGACACATCTGTTGTAATGCTTTTACCACAGATAGTTCAGAAGTGTCCCTCTTTTTTTGAACATGAACTTAAAACATGTTGACACATAAATATATTCGACGAACACCTTGTAAGCAAGGGAGCTTGAGGAACATTATCTTAATTTTATGAATGACTTTTTAGGACAGTTTTGGACAAGCAGTGTTTTTTTGTAATGAAAATTTCAATTTTAATGAAAAAAATGTATAACAATGATTATTATTGTGACATTTTCATTACAATTGAGCTCAGTAATATGTCTGGGCACTTTATTATTATTTAACAACGAATAAAATCAGTAGACATTCAGTACAAAGTGTACTTTTTTTCCACACTACGACAAAATCAAATTGTAAACTTGTTTTTGGGGTGAAAAATAATTTACATTGATTATTTTTGTGACTTTCACCCTTTTACAGAAAACATGGTTCACTCTCTTTTACAAATTGAGGGAGTCAAAATGAACTTAAACCTCATTGAAAGTAAGCCCGAATATTTCCCAGAAATAACTGAGCCACAGGATCAGCAGGGTACTTGGTATTGTTTGTTTGTGTTTTGTTAATGGCTTTTTCATAGTTAATTTCAAGTTAATTTTTGCACATTGATCTCAGGCACTCCATCTCATTGCCATCAGTCATGTTGTCAGTGAAGTCAAATTTCCTCCCTAATTTAAGTTGTCTATAAATACTGATCTTTGATCAGGCTTCTCTCAAGTCTTAAAGGGATAGTTCACTTTGAAATTAATTTTGGTATGTTTTATCTTACCTCAAGGGCATCCAAGATGTAGGTGTCTTTGTTTCCGCAGTATTTTCAATTTTGACATTTTTCGGTCAAACCGGTGTTGTCTATCAGTCATATAATGCAGGTCTATGGTCACCACCTCAAAGAGCATGCACAGAGAAGTCAAAATTAAACATGATTTAATGACTCGTACATGCAAGTACACATTGATGGCCTAAGACACGAAACGAGCGGTTTGTGTGAGGAAAAAGTAAAGTATTTATATAGATTTTATCTCTAACCACAGCCACAAAGCACCCGCGCACTCAGATCACTTGGACATGGCTGTGGTTAGAGGTAAAAGCTATAAATACTGTTCGTTTACCTACATCTTGGATGCCCTTGAGGTAAGCTAAAACATACCAACAATTCATTTGAAAGTGAACTATCCCTTTAACTTCTTGCCCAGAGCCTTTCCTGGATCAGTATTTTGGCACAACTTTGCAGCGAATTGGGAGAGTGACGCATCTCATGCCTTTCCTTTCCGCTTCCCACAGGATTTCGAGATGATGACTTCATGGGTGGGAGGAGTCGAGGAGGCGGCCGCCCGGCGGACAGAAGGGGGGGTGGAGGCATGGGACGCTTCAGAGATGGGGGTGGACCTCCCCCTCGTGGAGGCTCGACAGACTTCAGAGAACCATCTGACGGTCTCACAGATTTATTCATTCTCATGAGAGCAGATAGCCTTATATGTGTTCTTTAAAGTCAACATGAAATCAATATAGACCCAGTTTACTCCATCAACAGAAGGAACATGTTAACTCTTTTAGCAAAATGGAGTAGCTTGCTCTGATTTTCAGCTGTACACCAATCTATATCAATTTATTAGTAGAAATGGCTAATGTTACCGTGATATACAATATACAAAAATTATTTAGTCAGCCACTGATTGTGCAAGTTCTCCTACTTAGAATGATGACAGAGGTCTGTAATTTTCATCATAGGTACACTTCAACTATGGGAGACAAAAAGAAATCACATTGTAGGATTTTTAAAGAGTTTATTTGTAAATTATGGTGGAAAATGAGTATTTGGTCAATAAGAAAAGTTCAACTCAATACTTTGTAACATAACCTTTGTTGGCAATGACAGAGGTCAAACGTTTCCTGTAAGTCTTCACCAGGTTTTCACACACTGTAGCTGGATCTCCTCTAGAGCAGTGATGTTTCGGGGGAACATGGACTTTCAACTCCCTCCACAAATTTTCTATGGGGTTGAGGTCTGGAGACTGGCTAGGCCACTTCAGGACATTGAAATGCTTTTTACAGAGCCACTCCTTCGTTGCCCGGGCGGTGTGTTTGGGATCTGGAAGATCCAGCCCCGTTTTCATCTTCAAGGCTCTCACTGATGGAAGGAGGTTTTGATCTTGCGATACATGACCCTGTTTATTCTTCCCTAACTATGGATCAGTTTTCCTGTCCCTTTGCAGAAAAACAGCCCCAAAGCATGATGTGTCCTCCCCCATGCTACACAGTAGGTGTGGTGTTCTTAGGATGCAACTCTGCATTCTTCTTTCTCCAAACACGACGGGTTGAGTTTTTACCAAAAAGTTCTATTTTGGTTTCATCTGACCACATGATATTCTCCCAATCCTCTTCTGGATCATCCATATGCTCTCTGGCAAACTTCAGATGGGCCTGGACATGTACTGGCTTAAGCAGGGGACACGCCTGGCACTGCAGGATTAGAGTCCCTCTCGGTGTAGTGTGTTACTTATGGTATCCTTTGTTACTTTGGTCCCAGCTCTCTGCAGGTCATTCATCAGGTCCCTCCGTGTAGTTCTGGGATTTTTGCTCACCGTTCTCATGATCATTTTGACCCCACGGGCAGATCGAGGGAGATTATCAGTGGTCTTGTTTGTATTCCATTTTCTTACAATCGCTCCCACTGTTGATTTCTTTCACACCAAGTTGCTTGCCTAGTGTAGATTCACTCTTCCCAGCCTGGTGCAGGTCTACAATTTTCTTCCTGGTGTCCTTCGACAGCTCTTTGGTCTTGGCCATGGTTGAGTTTGGAGTGTGACTGTTTGAGGCTGTGGACAGGAGTCTTTTATACAGACAACAGGTTCAAACAGTTGCCAATAATACAGGAAACGAGTGGAGGACAGAAGAGCTTCTTAAAGAAGAAGTTACAGGTCTGTGAGAGCCAGAAATCTTGCTGGTTTGTGGGTGACCAAATACTTATTTTCCACCATAATTTACAAATAAATTCTTTAAAAAGCCTACAAAGTGATTTCCTGGATTTTTTTTTTTTTTTTTGATTTTTTTCCCCTCATTTTGTCTCTCATAGTTGAAGTATGATAAATTACAGACATCTCTCATTATTCTAAGTAGGAGAACTTGAACAATCAGTGGATGACTAAATATTTTTTGGCCCCAGTGTACCTGTACCGATTAGTTTTTGTTTTAAAACTTTGACGCCTAATCTTTCCTTCAGTTAAACAAAGCAAATATCAAGTTTTTAAATTTGTAGATTTTAAAGTTGTTTGTTTTATAACTAAGGCAAAATAGTATAAAATTATTGGTGTAACATTACAATAAGGTTTAATTGAAGGATTGTGAGCTATGAGTAATACATTTGTTACAGTTTTTATTAGTCTTCGTTAATGGTACTTAATAAAAATACATTTGTTCATGTTAGTTCATGCAACATTTGATTTTAATAATGTATTAGTAAATGTTTAAATTACATTGACTAATATTAATAAATGCCATAGAAATATTGTTGATTCTTTGTTCATGTTAACTAATGTAGTTAAATAATTAAACCTTATTGTAAAGTGTTACCAATTTATCGGTTATTGAAAATATTAGGAATAAGAATTGTAATATTTCAGCATCCACAATGTTAACCAATTGTAATGCAAAATAATGGGTTTTAGAAAAGCTGCGTTATATCCTAAATTACTATTGTTTTAAGGTATTTTGCAGCTTTTCTAAAATCTTTAATAATTGATGCCAAATAATCTTTATACAGTTGAAAAGTTATAGTTCCCAGCAAGTTGAGGCTCAAATAAATACTGCCTTGTTAATGGTCCAGTCAATTCCTACTTAATCAAATTAAGTTTCGCCCAACTTTTCCCTTTTTTAAGTGCTGTTCACTCAAATCTTTGCGCAGAGAAAAGTGGGTTGCAGATAGCATTTCATTTTGAACTCAAGTGAAGTTATAGAGTGGCAAAGTTACGATGTCACTCTGTAGGTCAAAACGTGGAAGTGAGTTAGCATTTTAGCACTACGGTTCCCTCGCTCTAAAGTCTATGGGATTTTTGAATGGGTTTTTGCTAAATCGCCTGAAATAAGGTCTGTGGTGAACAAAGCCTCTAAATATTTTCACGTTTTGATCTATGACATAAAACACACAGTTATAACCTGCTTGTGATTTTTTTTAAACTTTATTGTGTCTGATTGTGTTTTTTAAAATCTTTATATAGGCTTCAAAATGTATAAATGTTGGATTAACTTGTAAAGATTATCTTGCTAGACAAAACGTGTAAGGGTCACAACCCTCTGTTAAACACAGATCTTATTTGTTTGCGATTTTCCAAAAGTCTATGGGGAAAATGCATTGCTTTTCGATAGAGGGAACCCATGCGCCGCTAGCTTCCGAGTTATCCTACAAAGTGACGTCATCACTTCGGCACTCTATTGACACTACCTAAATGACTCAACAACATCTAATGTCTCAATTGTTGTTTTTTTCCACAGAGGAAAGAGCGCAGAGGCCGAAGCTACAGCTGAAGCCGCGTACAGTGGCAGGTCCCCTTAACCAAGTGGCCAACCCCAACTCGGCCATCTTTGGGGGTGCCAAACCCCGGGAGGAGGTAATTCCCAAAGACAAACACTAAGAGACTGCAGCCTCCCTCACCACTCCAAACGGAAGGAAGGAAGAATGGGAGGGATAGAGAAAGAAGGGGAGGGAAGGGCGAGGTACAGGGACAACGACGACAGGAAAAAAAAAACGTATCATGCCAACGGGAATGCGATAAGGCCTCTATCAGTTCTACCTGTTAGAGATGAACGGAGTCCTAAGTTCAGATCGATTGACTGTATTTATTCAACGGAAACAAACACACGAAACCACGCCTACATCGAGCGATCGCCATGACACCTGCGCACACCAACGAGCAGCTCGTGAATGCATGGCCAAACAATGTTTAACGTCCACCTTTGCTTCCCTGTAATTAGTGCCTGCGCTGTACTGTAGTTTTCGTCGGGGGGAAGTTCTTTCACATCCTTGTGGAGTTTCGAAAGGGTTTTTTGTTTGTTTGTTTGAGCTGTTCTCTTAAATGGAATGGAAACTGGTTTTAAATGTTTCTTTTTTGGCTTGTTTTATAGACGTAGACACTCACGCCGAGCCCTTTTATTGCGCGAATAACGACGCCGTTTTGATTTGTGCACTTATTGCAGGGCAGCTAGCTAACGTTTCCACGGTTGACGTTCAATTTATATTAGCGTTCGCGAATAGCAGTATTAAGTTTTTTGGATTGAGCCACCATTGTTTTGCATTTTTGTTCTTTGAATTTTTACTGGACTGCACCTTTTGAAGTTGTGTTGGTTTTTGATGTGATTTTCCCAAAAAAAAACGGCTCCTTCGCGATTTCAGACGATTTTTCCGAAACGCAAACCTTCGACCGCACACTGGAATGTACACGTGGTGCTTTTCCTCTTCCCTAGTCCTTATCGTGTCTGTAAATTGGCGTGTCAAAGCACAACGTAGTCCAGTTGTACGCTCGGTGTTCGGTTTCGGAGCCGCGCATCTCACGACATTAATCGGTAGATCTACACGCGTTCGGCACCCCACCGCCATCTTGCTGTTAAGTGTTGAACTGATTCCAATAATTGCTTTATCAAAATGTTCATGTGCAAATGTCACCATCTCCTACAATGGACCCTGTGTAACCACTCTGTTCTTGTTTTGTTTTATGTTTCCGTTCTCTTAAGAATTAATATCTGTGTCAGTGTGGCTGCATTTTTCCGGAAGGCTATACTGGATTCTACTGGCTTTGATCACCATAAAATCTTTCAAAGACTTCTCCCAGTGACACGCAGGCAGGGGCACGAGGTGCTGGTCTCCTCTCGAATCCAAACGAGCCCTCATCCGATTGGCTTAAAAAGCATGTGGAGGTGGGGGCTCTAGAAAGGGGGCGGGGCATAGTCTTAACTCCGCCTCTGCCTGTCCTCGCTGACTCCTCCCACACGCCTCAAAGAACCCAAACTTGGAGGACAACATCTCCTGGTTGATTTCCATTGTGTTTAAGGACTTCAAAATATCTCTCTCTCTCCCTCTCCAAAGTATCTTTGTGTTCCGAATTTGTAGACACGCGGACGTAATTGCAGCCGTGTGCTTTTTATATTTTGCTCTTTAAATTTCTTTACTGTATTTGAAAATTAAAACGTTGAGCTTGATTCTTAATTAAACCATTTCACAGTGAAGAGCTTTTTTTGAATCTGTTTGAATTCTTGCGTTGTCTTTACGAAAGATTTTCCGAACCTGACCAAATCTGGCTCATCCAGAGCTTTCAGGAACAATGTGCCACATGTGTTTCATTCACTTAGAAGAGCAACATGCATGCATGATAGGTTTGGTTGGTGACACATGGGTCTACAGCGACACCCACAGCTTGACTGCAATGTATTTCTTTCCAGGACGAAAAAAAAAAAAGTAGAAACTATGATCCATTACACCATCAGTACTGCCTTTCCATATGAAGCGTATTGAACAAAATTGAACTGCTCGCACATTTCCAGACACGCCGGTGACGCCGGCCGCTGTACTTTCATCTCCTAGTGGATCGAGTGTAGAGTCCTCATGGGAAACCCTTCTCCTCGCATTTTACTGGATTATGAGGAAGTTCAAAATTGTCTTCTTACTGTATTATAGAGGTCGGCTGTTTTTATTCTCTTGTTTTTCTTTTCATTTTCCTACACTGTTTATGGCAATAAATTGTATCATCTTACAGTGTTTGAAATGAATGTTTTGACATAGGATTATGGGATGTATTTATTCTGTGTCCTGTGAAGCTATATGGTGTTTAAAAAAAGTTATTTTACCAAAATTTCACCTGGTAGTTGGTTTATCACAGCAAGTTTTGGCAATTGTGTCGTATGCTTCAAGAACAGGTAACTTGTCCATACAAGACACAGAGTCTTATCTTCGTTGGGTGAGGAATGGTCTATACACTGAGTCAAACACAGTCTTTACTTTCAGCATAGGAGACAAGTGATGAGTGATTGTTTTGCATATGTAAAGAATAAAAGATTTGAAGAGGAGACTGGGTTTGGGGTGTCAAGTGGTCTAAATACAAGGAAATATGGGGAAACATCTCTTTGTTGGGTGATTCTGACTTCAGAAATAAAATAAAGAAAATAATCCTATTGTTAGTTGTAGGACTATGGTGATCTTTAAAAAAAAAAAAAAAATTAGGAGTTATACCTAGTGCCATTTTTAATTTTTGACCGGAGTGAAAACAAGGAATGTAGAGTTCAATCGATCCTACTCTACTTGTCAATTGTTCAACTGACAAAACATATTTTTCTAAAACTAATCTCAAAAGACAAACAACATAAAACAGTTTAAAAGTTGTGAGTTTTGAAAAAGACGTGATGAACCTTTCGTGGCGTCACAGTTGAGTATAATCCAATATGGCGTCTGCCCTGACTAGACCAATAAACCACAGCGGCGCCATCTTTGAATGAAATCGAGGCTGTGTGAGAGTCGAGACGGGCATCTCTACGGTGGGTTGTACTGTTATTTAATGTGGTGTTCTGCTGACGAAACTCTGCAAAAATATATTTTCCGAGAAATTTCAGTTTACATACCCCAGACAATATTATCATGTGGAAAGGTGATAGATAAGCTGATCTAGATGATTTAAGCCTGCTTTTTTACAGCATCGATAAAAGTACAAGTCTATCAGCCTCACTTGGATACCTGCTGATCTTATTAACTCTAGGATTGAGAAAATGTATTTAACACAATTTTACATTATTTAAGATTAGGCTATATTGAACACATGCTGATGTGAAAATATGTATTTTTGAAATAATGACTGTAATAAGATTGTTTTTATTTATTTTTACTTTGATAGTCATGAAAATAATGTCAGTGTTATTGGGTTCCACAAAATACTATTTCTACTTAAAAAATCTTGACCTGCGAAGTTAATAGACCAATTTCGACGCATGAACACCATGTGGTCAAAATATCTGGACCAAACAACCCTTGAAAAAATTGTTTTATTATAAATGATTAGTCCATTAGATGATTGAAGTCGCATATAGGCTTTAGGTTATATAATAAGTGATATTGGAAGTTTAGGAGTAAACGAGGGTTCTCCGGTCAATCTATGCACTTGTATGCAGTTTTTAAACCCGCTGCACTTTCTCTTTGATTTCAGGAGAGGTCGCTGCCTACCTAATTTACCTCAGGTCGTAGGAAATTAACAATCTCTACAACAAGTTTGGTGTTGTATTTAAGCTGTCATCAAGGATACTTTCAGAAATATACTTTGGTCATTCTCAAACACTTGTTATAATTATGAGTTGATTATTTAAAAAGTTGATTATTGCTAAGAGCCTAATTTGTCCTTTTAAATCACCTCCTGGTAACTGTTAGGAATATCATAGAATAGATGACTATTCATATGGGACTAATCAAGATAAAAAAGTATAATTTAAGATATAAGAAAATCTATAAAATATTGCCAATTAAAAGCATAATTAAGTGAGAAAATAAAACTTGTATGATGTCCATTCTTTTAATTGTACATCTAATTTTAAGACATTTAAGATAAAGCAATTGGGTACAATGTTTAAAATTAAACTGATACTAAAGTTTTCCAGGTATAAATGAATGTCCTGTTCCAGAGACGGGGTCAAGTGATACATGTTATTTTTTTTTCTCAGCGCTGGCCTGAATGGGCCAATCACAGTCATTTGCGGTTAACCGGTGCTTGAGAGGTAGGTAGAATTTCCTATTCTGTTGGTCAGGTTCCAATTCGTTGAATAATATATTATTTAATAGATTAGTTTTAGTGTTAGAATTTTTTTAACGGCAGGTGCTCCCTAGAGAAATAATTCACAAAAACTACAAAAATCATTTTAACCCGAACTTATTTATTTTAAATTTAATGGTCAGTGGCTCGTGCGTCAAACTAGTTGATGATCGACGTGCGCGTTCTCGTGTTTTGAAAGAACAGAACGTGCTTGCGCTTCAGTACACACCACTAACCGGTCCGGAGCGTCACTAACGAACTTCGCGTAAATCGAAACACCAAACGTGTGTGTTCATCCCAAAAAACAAACAAACAAAAAAAACAACAACCACAAAATGAAGAGCTGAAAGTCTTTATTTGTTCAGTAAGGATTATTGATCAATACAGAGTTTTCAACATCTGCGGCTGTGGTTTTCGAGTGCCTTCGTTTCATTTGAGGTAAGTTTTAACGTCCTCTCGACGGAATAAATATAGCAAGTTAGATATGAAACAAACTCGTTTAATTAAACTCACGTTTAAGTTACTCACACTAATAGCATGGACTGTTTTGAACGATGTAATATAAACGTCTTCCCTGTACTTTTCGCCATTAAACTAACGTTATAAGTTAGTCTTGTTTTCTGCGCTCGTGACCGCTTGTGAAAGTGTCGCATGATGCTTCAAAAATAACATAAAAAGCTAGTCTAAAGTTCTGATACTCTAACATACTGATACTGTGACGTGGTAAAAGTTTGTTTTAGTGACTACCTATAATCCTGATTGTATTACTTAGTATACACACTTTCAATAAGTGTAAATACTAACGCTAACGTTATATCATTACTGTGAAAATGTTTATGTTCTTTACACTTTTCTGCGGCACCATTTGGTCTTGGTGAACAAGTTTTCCTGTTTTAAAGGGGAAGCTTCAGAGTGATCTGACACACGGATGTTTGAGGTTGCCAAGTCATTGTGTGAGCTTTGAGTTGCGACGTAGATTTGCAAACAGAGGAAGGTGTGATCCAGATCCTCCATTGCTTCTTGCGTAAAAGGGGAACGTGCACCAGCAAATCTAGTAAATGTTACTCATAAACGTGTTACTGTGTTCTTCTTCTCTTTATAGATGTCAATGGATTGGATTATATATCACTGAACGTCACAGCATACACGTCACTTACTCCTTTTCAAGGTATGAACAGTAATTCAACGTTTACTTGTGCTGTTTTATCCTGAAACTACATTAAAAGTGCTATTATGCATCATATTTTATTTTATTTTATTATATATTATACATAAAGATGGGAAATGCTATCATGGAGAAGATAGCTGCAGTTCCTCATGACTCAATAACTTAATTTTTATAAATATCAGATAATTTGACCTCTATATGATAAGGCAGGGTTTGTTCAAGTATAATTGAAATACTTAAAATGGTTTGACTCCTCAAAATCATAATTGTGTTTATGAATCAATAATTTGAGATATTTAAAACAAGATATACTTTTGTTAAAAAATAATAATTTTGGAAAACAGAGCTACATGAGTTACATGAGATCAAGGTGTGAGAGATAGTGATGAACATGATTTTTCATAGCCAATTCGTTTTTTCTTCTTAATTTTTACAAGCAAAGTGGCTGAATACCAGTTGCCATTACAAGACAAGAGAAGTAAACAAAGAGGAAGATCCGGCAGACATGCGGAGAATTTGCTCAGCACAAGCTTTATCATTTTGCGAATTTTAGTGAGAGTGCAGAACGCGGTAAGTCAGTCATGGCTTAAAGGGAGCGCTATTGACAATCTCAATAATAGTTTTGTTTGATTGCGGCAGCTGGTTTAGTCAAAAAACGCACAGTTATTTGGCAGTTGGATCTGTTCAAAATCACATTCTCACCATAAACAAACCGCTCCAGAGTTCGTTTGAAAGCGTACCTTGTTTGGTTCACTTTTGGTGCGCACCCGAGTGTGCTGCTTTCACACCTGCCCAAACGAACCGCACCAAGGGGGGAAACGAACTCTAGTGCGATTCAACCGAACTAAGGGGGCTTTCACACTGGCAGTTTAGTTCGGAACGGGGCACGGTTCGCATGAAAAATCGCTAATGTGAACGCTGTCATGGGACTGGGGTACCGAACCCGAGACTACCTGGAGGAGGTGGTCTGAGTTCGGTTGTTTCCAAACCCTGCCGTGGTTCGCGTGAATGTGAAAGCAACACGGACTCGGGCGCGCACTTGTTCAGGAAGTAAAGTATCCTGCGCATGCGTTTTAGCTGATTGTGATGTTTTGATAGTGTTGATGATTTACTTTGGAAACGAGCGAGAGTGAGCCTTCAGTGTATTCTTGCATTGGGTGTCATTCATGAAACACCAGCAGAACGAATTTTTGAGTAAATCGTGTGTAAAGTGGTTCTGGCATAAATTTTCGGATTCATTAAAATGTTGAGCCCGTTCTCATTCCAAAGCGCCATATAGGACGCTTTTGCAAAAGCCTAAATATTCAACGCACATGGCACCCTTTAACGTAAAATGAGATGCAGATATATTTGGGCAGAAGGCGCCCCCTAGTGGTCTAACCCTTACCCTACACCATACCTAAACTTAACCATAACCGAAGCGTCTCATTATGCCTAGTTCACACTACATGATTTTAAAATGTCGGGCTGAACTGTGCAGTTCACACTACATAACTTGTTCTCAGTGAAATCATGAGTGTTCAAGTTGTTTAGCTGTTCACACCACACAACACAACGTGATTGATACACAACAGGAGGTAACTCACTACACGAGTTAACAACGCACTACATAGAGATACAACCACGATCGGATGATAAGAGCATATCATTTGTGACTCAATGAGAGCTGTTTCAGTACTATGGTACGGTCTAAATCATGAAAATACTCAAATAAATAACGAGTTGACAACACGATTCTATCTGGTCTAGAAACCATCATGTTTTGTAACGAAAAACCACGCAATAAAACGAACCAGAAATGACGCGAAACTGCAGAGAAGAACACAACACGCGAATATGGACGTCAGATAGAAACTAGTGCTGCACACTGTTTGCTCGACGATATGCTCTGAGAAAAAAAAATGCAAAAAAGAAAAAGTAAGATTTACCTGGTGTCCTCAACCCATGCGTTCCTATGATTGGCTGTACTCATGAAATCACTGAGATTGAGTCGCGCGACTGCTCGAGATATCTAGCATGCTAGATATTTTTCTGAGCTCGGTGACCTGTCTGCGAGGTGTCTGCGAGCTGTCTTTGATGCGTTGTTGGCTCTTTCACTCTAACGGATTGGCGAGCGTTAATCGTCCGCTAATCGCCCGCGATTTGCACGCGATAACACCCTGACTTGTCGGCGACTCAACGATTTGCAAATCGGGCTTAAATCGGGCTTAAAATCACGTAGTGTGAACTAGGCTTTAGACGTTAAAGGGTGCCATGTGCGCTGGATATTTACGCTTTTGCAAAAGCGTTGTATATGGCGCTTTGGGATGAGAATGCGTTGAAATGTTCGTATTTTCTAAATGTTAGTTGGTACGAAAGAAATCTACACCTGCTCCCAGCCGAACTTTTTCCGAACTGAACTAATTCGTTTTTAGCTGTCAAGCTTAATGTCGAACCGTTTTCTTTTCACATCTGGGACTGTTTGATTAACAGATGAAACTCCATTAACTGCATCTGTAATGTGCTGCCAAGCTTCCTTTTTTATAGGACCTGATACGCCACTATGTAGCCTACGCTTGAAAATAAAAAGTGGCGTTTTGAATGAACTTCTGATAATAAAACGTCAATTTCTGCATCTGAGAAATTTTTCTTTTTCATTCGCATTCATGTCATAATATGATTTCTATATATAGTTGTCAGTCGGATTTAATGGGCGGGATTTATGGTAATTGAGAATGAACGTGCACGGCACGCGCGTCCCATTTACGACTCATTTACAAATTCATTAACACACACACACATTTCACTATCACATCTGACGTTTACGAACTTACGAAGTATTTGTGAATCAGGAGAAGAGTTTTCGGGAAGGTCTCTTTTTGCGCAAATCACTTACATATTTACTCGTATATTTACGAATGTTTCATGTGTGAGATCCATTGTGCATAGAATCAGAGCAACACATTTGGAAATCAAAAGAATCTGTTTGCAAGCAGAAGTCCACCTTACATGACACACGCACAGTAAACCTGTATTGTTCACTTAACTGCTCATAATAGCAGCAAATTAATAAAAAAAATTGCAGTCCCCACAATATTTACCCACGTTTTGCTTTCTATCATGCGCCGCGCACGTTTGCGATGACGTAAGATGCACGCAAACGCACCAGGGTTTGATAGAATCAAGTTGAGTGTGAAACCAGACCAATGCTGCGGGGGGCGCTGCAAACCAGCCCAGTGTAAAAGCCCCCTAAAAGAGGCAGGTGTGAAAGCACCCTAACTCGACGGTGACGTCAACACCACTGAAAGTCATCTTTCCTATTGTCGCTCGTGAAAATCGCTTCTCATTTGCATAAAAATGAAATTTTCGAACTTTTCTCACATCGCTTGACATGCCCACATTCTGACGCCAACGGTCACTGTCGCTTGTCGCCGGAAGTCACGAATGGGATTGTGTCACTTTGTCGTTGCGTGTCGCTGGTGGCGTGAACGGGGCTGAAGCGTTGTTGTATTAGAACACATTTTGTGAGTCTGCTCAAGCCGGCTTCACATACATTACATATGTAACACAAATGCAATAACATGTCACTCTGTAGGCATCTTACAGCAGTTACCACACAAGCAATTTATAGATTGTCATGACAGAATATGCTAATTTAGGATAGTTGTCACTTCTTGAGTCTCTCAATCATTGTCCGACTCGGTGTTATATTATGTTTAAATATAAAAGGCAGAGCAGTTTCTGATATTTTAGTGTTTGTCTGCATGAGGTAATTGGAGCTGCTAACACACACAAGCTCTTGAAGCTCCGCCCCCTCTGTGCTGAGAGCAGCAGCTCATTTGCATTTAAAGGGACACACTAGCCTGGGAAAACTTAGACAACTTCCAGTCAAGACTTGTCAAAAGTGCCTCTAATTGAAGCCCATTTTACAACAAAAATGTTAATGAAACTTTTATGACTTATGAAAACTGTTGATGTTAAATTGCATCAGTGATTGTCATTGCGTATCATCCAACACACCGTCAAAGAAAGAACACATGACAGAGAAACATCAGGTTGCAAAATGTTTATTAGGCCACTGATATGGTTGTGGACTTTATTTCAGTCATTGCCTATGATGACACAGTTTTAAAGTGTCGTAAGGTAACATGACATAGCAATGAATAAATTAAATGATAGTTGGTTCATGTATTTAAGAATATTATATAGATGTATTCATTCAGGTGTTCTGGTCTCAAAGTTAAAGTGGATCCTTGTGTTAATTTGAATTGTAAATTTCTGTTTGTTTGTAAAATAAAAATCATAATAAACTTACATATTCTATTTGTTACAAAAATATTTTGTCCACAAATACATTTATTTCATTTGTTACGGGCAGAGACATATTCAACAAATGATAACAAAAGACACAGTTTTAAAGCATTGCAAGGTACAAAGAAAAATGACAACAAAATGAAATCTATGTAGTTGAAGTTTGCTGTGCTTTATCCTAACATGAAGTGAATGTCCGCATTCAGTCAGGGACGACTGCACAAAACAACATAAAACGAACTATAAAAAATTGTAGTTTAAGTTCACAGAGGTTGGTAACACTTTACTTGAAGGGGTGTTTATAAGACTGACATGACACCTTCATAATCATGACATGTTATTAATATGAAGTAGGGTTTATGCATGTTTGTGACAACTATCATTAAGTGTCTTTCGCTCAGTTATGACATTTTTAATGCAAATATGACATTGTTTGAGATGTCTTTGTTATGACACCTTGACATAAACCAATGCATCATAACCTGTCAGTGTCTTTGTCATGACAACTTGATATTAGTAAGACAACACAAGCTGTCACAAACATGACGTAGCAGATTAATTATCAAACTTAAGAAAACACTTAGCTTTATTGGTTAACATTACATTAAACTATCAGGTGGTTGGGTTTGACATTGGCTGTCATGAGGCCATTATAACGTTTTGATGACAAATTCAATTAGTACCACTGTAGTTAAGGTCACGAACAATATTCATGACACACAATATTATAATGGCCTCTTAATAGTTGTTAATAGTTTAACTTAATAGTTGTCATGACAAAGACACTGACAGGTTATGATGTTGTGGTCTATGTCAAGATGTCACAAAGACATCTTAAACAATGCCATATTTGCATTCAAAATGTCATTATTGAGCGAAAGACACTTTATGACAGTTGTTATAAACATGCATAATGTCATGGTTATGTCATGGCATGGTTATGAAGGTGTCATGTCAGTCTTATGCACACCCCTTCAAGTAAAGTGTTACCAACTTCGTATTGACCTTTTATGAAAAGATCTATTGAAAAGGAAATCATGAATATTCATGTAAGCTCCACCCACTGAAACTGAAACCCTCGAAACTCTGCCCCGATTCTGTCAGCCTCTAGGGCAGCGGTTCTCAACCGGGTTAACCATGGGACCCACATCTCCCCATGGCCAATTAAGCCCCGACCCATAATTATATGGTCTAAACTAAAATTGCTGCTCCTTCTTTTCTTTGTTTACTGAACTAATTGTGTCACTCCTTAAATCAGGGGTGTCAAACTCATTTTTACC